GTTTTAGAGTGCATTGTGGTAAGAAATTCCCTTCCTTTTCATGTTTTTATGAAGATTGAATTTATGGTTTCATTTTGAAAATTTGGTTTGATTGAGCATGTTAGAGCTTGATTCAGGTTTAGCTCATGTTGAGAAAAGTGTTTAGATGAGAATTTTAACGGTGAAAATGTATCTGAAAAATTAAAGATACCATATTTTTGAATAGTGTTGTATACGTGAATAGTGACGTATACATGAATAGTATTGTAGAGATGAACAGTACCGTAGTACCGTATATATATATGAATTAATGAATCTTGGATTAGAGGTGTGCGATAAGCTTGAATTTGATGGACTACAACATTGGAATCAAGAAGTTGGCATGAATTGCTTTATGTGCCTCTTAGCCATTTACAAAGGAAGTATGTGCTATGAGTTACTGTTTTACAAATCGAGCATATTTTTATGCGTGGAATAATATTCTAAGGTGTATGGACCTTCGCTTTGGTGAAATAAAAAAGAAAATAAGGTAGCTCCTTTGTATGACCTTAAAATGAGTTTTAGCCATTTTCAAAGGAGGTATATGTTCGGAGATATTATTTCGCAAAGTGAGAACACTTATATGCGTAAAATAATTTATATAGGTGGCTAAGCTTGGGTTTAGGCACTAGACAAAGAGAAATCTTATAGCTCCATTGTAATGGGCATTCTGCCTTAAGTTGGGACTATCCTAAGACTAAGTGAATGTGTGAAATTTTGTGGGGATTTATTGAACAAAGAACCACCCACTCATGACTTAATATGATTAAGTAAAAAGAAAATAAACAATAAAGTGTGTGTCTTGTATATTTACATGGCATTATATCATTTTATTGAGTTTTGTGTTGAATTCCTTCTCTAGGTGTACCTAGGGACTGTGAACGTTTGGATTCTCGTGGAGCATGATAAGTAGCTTGTTCTTCAAGTAAGCAAATTGTAAAGCTCCAAGAGGTAAGCTCTATGTTTATGGGGTTCGCTCCTACTTTGTGTTCCGCCATAGTGTACGGACTGTGGTAAGGTTGTATGATATGTATGAGATATATGATATAGATGCATTCATATAGAGCTATATGATAATATGATATGTTTTGTTTTGATGTATTTACTTTGATATGTGTTAATATGATATGTTTTGTTATGATATGACTTCTGTAATATGATTTCTGTAACAATATCTGGCCATTGATTGTATAGTACCCGGATGTTCGCTTTGGGGTCCTCCCTCGGGACTGATGGTGTACGCCTCTGATATGTTCTGGTTCCGCTTTGGGGTCCTCCCTCGGGAACACGTGCGTTGATTTCCGCTTGGGGTCCTCCCTTGGGAATGACTGCGTACGCCTCTGATATGTTCTGGTTCCGCTTTGGGGTCCTCCCTCGGGAACACGTGCGTTGATTTCAGCTTGGGGTCCTCCCTTGGGAATGACTGCGTACGCCTCTGATATGTTCTGGTTCCGCTTTGGGGTCCTCCCTCGGGAACACGTGCGTTGATTTCCGCTTGGGGTCCTCCCTTGGGAATGACTGCGTACGCCTCTGATATGTTCTGGTTTCGCTTGGGGTCCTCCCTTGGGAACACGTGCGTTGATTTCCGCTTGGGGTCCTCCCTTGGGAATATCTGCGTACGTTTCTGATAAGATATGTGTATATGTTTTGTTTAGTTATGATATTTGATTATATGACATGTTTTATGGGATATGTATGATGATTTTGTAAATGATATTTGTTACGTACGTTGATTTCCGCTTAGGGTCATCCCTTAGGAACGATTGCGTACGTCTCTGATATAACACGTTTTGTTCTGATGTGAGTATTGTGATGATTTTTGTAAAAGATATTTGTTACGTGCGTTGATTTTTGCTTGGGGTCATCCCTTGGGAATGACTGCGTTTGTCTTTGATAAGATATGTATATATGCTTTGTTCAGTTATGATAATTGCTTATATGATATTTTGTATATTATGTATCTGATTGTCATGCAGGAAGTGAGCCCAGGGTATGAAGGGTTTTCCATAAACCTGGAGTTTACTAGAGATTCGTCTCTAACCCCGTTTGGGGATATGATTTCAGGAACACAGTTAATTGAAGAGCCTCATGGGACAAGGACACTAACCGTGGCTAGAGGTACTAGTATGAGGATGTGGAGTTCTGGGTGGTCGGATGCTACTATTTGTTTTAGACGTATTTTTGGAAAAGATGTATTGTTGCATAGTGTTCATATTCGATACATGTACATTTATGTATTCAGGCATGATGATATGACTATGTAGTATTCAGTTATGTTATGTATTGGCTTGCATGCTATTAGATTTGTGGCACGGAGCCAAGTTCAGCATGCGCCCATAGATGAGTATCTGAGTATATTTTCATGACTGGTACTTCTGGAAATATATATTGTTTAAACTGTCTATCAGGAACTCTTGAGAGTGGGATTGGAAAATCCCCAGTTGTTCGATTTACAGAGGTTACTCTGTCCGATTTTCGTCTCCTTAAAATAAGAATTAAATTAGAAGAAGTATGCAATGTGATATGTCATGTGAAAAAGGATTAAAGAAAAAGAAAAAGTTAGTTCGTATTTTCGTAAGTTAAGTCTTCCGCTGTTTCTGTTAAGTATCATATGCATCTTAATTGAACCGGCTCGAGGCTGGGGATGTTACACATAAGGCCCATATGAAGAGACGAAAAAGAAAAAAATGGATCACATATTTTTAAATGTATGTAAGAGATAAAATTATTTCTTACAACATAAAAAATATTAATCTCATATATATATATATATATATATATATATATATATATATATAATATATTTAGTCCGTACTAGTCTCAAGTCCATGATATGGCTTGATCTATATTACCTTAGGGGGTGTTTGGTATGAGATTTTTGATTGGAATGATGGGCAACTGGGTTTGGTAATAAATTTTCACCATGTTTGGTATGAAGATAGTAAGTAATTCCTAGGCAAAAAATATCCCGAGCATTTGAGTTTTTAACTAAAATGAGGATAAAAAAAAATCCTTCTCTACCTGTGGTATTTATTTTTTCGTTGATTGTGGATTGTGAGTGAAATTTTTTCTGACTAAAACGCCCTCTTGTATCACAGCCAGACACCATGTGTTATAAAACTTCAGCCAGTCTAAGAAGTATATATATATATATATATATATATATATATATATATATATATATATATATATATATATATATATATATATATATATATCAGTGAAGGCCTTATACAGTGGGCTGTAAGGTGCTCGTGGGGAGAGGAATTATGAATGCAACAGGGCTATCAAAAAACTTACACCCATTCATTTTCCATTTCATCAGCTGTCCTGTGCACTGTGATGAATGTCAATGACCCACAACACCGGTTACAGGGACAGAGCTAATGGAAATTTTCATATATAACTTTTCCAACATACTGAGATGGACCACGTACTAAAACTAACGTTTAATAATAGACATACAAAATTGAAAAAAGAGGGGTAGTTTGGTAAATTCAATTAACATTCTCATCAATATTTTACCATCAACCAAATGTAGTATCAGTAAAATTAACCCTACTTCCCCGGCAATATTTTGATCTACCAAACACCTTTTTAGTACTTTCCTTTGAAAAATAGTTTCCTACCATATTCTTAGAAATATTTTTTCCCAGGTAAAAAAAAATATCTCTTATACCAAACGCTCCCTAGACGTCATCAAAAATGTGCAATGGGAATAGATACACTTTTATAAAAAAAAAATGAGATATAAGAAAAAATAACTATAAAAATAAGGGTAATATAAATATGTTCCTTTTTTTATATTTGATAAAAAAATCATAGTATTGAAAATATTTTCCTCATAGAGCCTTATCCCCTATACAAGCACGTTGAAGAATATTGGCCTAGATATGTTTATTTCTCTACCTACAAATTTTTTTTTTTTTTTTCACTGTTGAACTAACTTGGACACTTTAGTCTGTTTTGCTATTAAAATAAGGGATAATATAAAATATTTGTACTTGTTTGATTGTTCAAATAATATAAGTTTTGGACAAAAAAAATCAATTCAAAGACAACACAAACCTCTAAAATTTTGTTAATCACTAAACCAGGTTTCAAAATCTAATCCACAGTACTGAAAGAGACAAAAACCAATAACTCATATCTCTTCATTACCCGAGCTTTATTCCACACAAATTAAAGAGTATTTACAATAAAATTTTATGTTATTCAATCCATAAGCAACACAAAAATTATTCTGAAATTATATTTGCAGTTATTCCCATCTTATCTCCAACTAAGGGATTTACTTAACCAACTGATGTGGAGCTCTCTAGCGTTATCAAGAAGTTCTAAGACCACCCCCTTTAGGTACAGGCAAGATTACGTATGAAGATTATGCAAAATTTATTTGGTTTATTCATAATCCAATACCTCAGTTTTTGTTTAATTTATTTAATTAAGATATATGTGCATCTATGTATATGCTGGATTTCACCGGTGCAAGAAAAGGAATATAAGTAGAGATAAGTCTCCATCACATCTTGGGGGTGTTGGCATCGATTCTCCCACATAGGCTAAATTTTTGGGGAACCTACAAAACTTTGCATATCAAACTGACAACTTGTTCTATACACATGATCATAAAGTTACTGATCCAAATGATTGGTCACCATATATACATTCTGAGAAGATCTATATCTGCATCATCCCTTTTTTTCATTTAGCTTCATGTGTTTTGGGACATTTGTACCCAAAATGAACAAAGCTATGCCTTAAAAGAAATTGACCCTTTTGTTTGCTTAAATAGTAAAAATCAGTTGTGTAACTGAAGCATAGCTCAGCAAATGCAACCCAAAATTTGGAAAAAGAAGACTATGTAATATGTACCATTAGGAAGCTTTGTCGGCATGTTGGGCTTGATAGACCCCACAACTCAATACAAATAATGATAGTGTTAGTCGGTTGGCTCTTTAAAACTAAAAGATACCCTTAAACCTTTGGTGATAAACACAAGCACTAGCACCACTACCATCACCTAACACCATTATCAAAAGTCTCATATATTTGATTTCTTCTTTAGAGTTCATATTAACCTTTATATTCGAAGAATGGTTCAAAAGCTTTGGAGCTAGCTTGGACTATTGTAAGTGCTAATTAATGATCTCTTTTTTAAATTTCTAGAAACAGCAGATAATTGAAGATGCGGTGTCTTGCAGCTGTAGTGAGAAGAAATCTTCAGAAGATGAAGAAAAGCTCAAAGGTGGCAGATGAGAACATGTTTGAAGCAGGGAACGTGGTTGAACTACCAATATTTGGAGGTAATAACAGAGGAACAAGACAACGTGGGTGGAATGTTTTTTCACTTATTTATACTATTCTTCATGCTCCAATATCAATACTCTCATGTGTCTCTAATCCTCATGTTAATGCTTCTGATGGGGTTTGGGCCTCTGGTGAATTAGCACAAATTTCTGAGATGAATCATCTTATGGTAAATGACAGTTTGCGATATGCAATTTTGATGTAGAAAATGTGAAGAAAGTTGTAGCTCTAGATTAAATCTCTCGTTATCTTTCTTCCTAGTCTTCTCTTCTTTCCTTTATACTAATTTGGATCATCAACTACACTAGGTAATTAAACGGTTTACTCAAAGAACTTTCTCTTCTTCTTCTTCTTTTTCTTTTTTTGGAATTCATTTTTTCTCTTTGTCTTCTCTTAGTGCATACATAGATACATACATATTCAGAAAAGGGTAATAATTTTTTTAATTATTATTATTGATTGGCTTTGTTCATGACCTACGAAAACACAAAGATCAGAAGAATATGTATGTTGATGTTTTCATATGATAAATATTGATATAAAAATGAGTTAGAATGGTTGATTTTCCTCTATTACACTTCTAGTTGGGCTACAGTGTAAACTCGTGTCTTTAAAGCTAAATATATCTCACAAATGTATACAACTAAGGGTTTGTTTTTTGTTGTTTGATACAATTAATGAATCATACTATGTTGGAGCTCTTAGGAAGAGCGTCATAGAAAGGCCTCAAAAAGGAGAAAAGAATGTCAGAAAGTAGTCAAATGTCTATTATCATTTTGAATAATCAAGCACTTATTGAGTACGAACTGGGTATAGTTGGTATTCAACTTTGTTTCTCTTTAATTACTGCCACTATGTTAAGTATCAGTTGAGTTACAAGACTATCTTGAGTACTTATCGTTTTATTATATATTCATGGACAAATTTTATTGCCCATTTAATAAGTAAATATTTATATACTTCCTCTCACATGTCTCTCTTTCAACATGATTATATCATGTGTCATATCATATTCATTTATTAATAAATTAACGGTCCTAATTTTAATGACAAAATTTGTAAAACAAAAAAACGGAAATGATTATTTTAATTGCTAATTGTTAATCTGTCAATTGATAGTTGTGATTTAACACATGCATTCTCATGTTGAAAAAAAAAAAAAAAAAAAGAGAATTTAGTTCCCACAATAAAGGTTACAAACAAAGGATATATTTAGTCCCCATTATGAGTACATAGACCTTATCTTAGAAAATCTCTCACTCCCTATATAGCTCACCTTCTGCACACATATATGATTGTGGTGCAAAACCTCACTGCAATGGTGAGGAATTGGACAAACGATCAGGCTCATATTATCTCTCATATGATTAGGGAATATTACTCTTACATATAGATATCCCTCTACTCCATTGAAGAAGCATTTAGCATCCCTGCATTTAATGAGATGTTACTTTGCAAAAATATTGAGCATCCGCACACATTTCCTCTCTCTTAATCTTACATGAGATAACACATTCGTGACTCTCTAAGAATTTTGGTCCATACCATTACCTCTTTGAGTACCTTTACAATGAAATACTATATACTCATTCAGGAATATTTACCTAATTCCTAATTCTAACTCTACAACAATTCAATAATATAATAATAATAATAATTTATTAGATATTAAGAGCGTTTAGATGGGCTTTAAAAAATAATTTTGTATGCATTGTTTTTTTTAAACAAGAGCTATTTTATATTTGGAACAATATTCAAGAAATAATTTTAGGTATTTTGGATTTAAAATAAAGTATATTTTAATTTATTTTTCAATTTTTGATTGTTTCAAAAAGGTATGTTAAAACACACACACACAAAGTTAGTTTTATAAGAAAAGAAATTCATCCAAGCAAGCCTGAACAATATTTTTAAAATTATTTATCAATTTATCATATTTTTAAAATTATTTATCAATCTATCTTATTTTGACCAAAGTTGATCACTGTTGATCATGTGGATCCCAAAAACAAGACACGTGTTAATTATGCAATAATGACATATGTTAAATTTGTGGAAACCAAATAATCAAAAAAGGAGAATGATTTCTCCATTTCTTCTACCACTAACACAAAATTTTCTCTTCTTTATCATATTCTCTTCTCTCTCTGTTGTTTTTGTATCAGTGGAAGAAGGAATGATTTCAGCAGCAATTACATAAATCATTCTCCCAATCAAAAATAGTTAATTTTTGTCAAAATATAATAGATTGATGAATAGTTTTGAAAGCATGCAAGACTGATAAATAATTTTTAAAATAAGGATAGATTGATCATTTTTCTTACAATAGCACCGTAAGAGTATTGATATGGAGTACGAATTTGATACGATTATGCCACCAATTGTAAAGCACTCGTGCATCATAACTCAAGCTAACTAGATATCAAACAAATGAATTACTTATTTCTTGAGTGTTATTTATTATAATATTACAAGGTACAAGCAAACCTCATTCTATTTTTCACCTCACCATTTTAAGAAGAAAAAGGGTAGAAGAAGAATAGGCAATTAGAAAAGAAAGGAACTTGTTGATCTTTTATGAGAAAAACAAACATCAGAAATAATATTGTGCAACAGCTTATTTTATTCTGACTAATGAACTTGTTTTTAAATACAAAACTGAGCTCATGCGGTTGTTACTAACCAGCTGATTTTGTTGGTCCACAAAATCAGCAACAAACTAACAAAACAATAACAGTAAAATGCAGTAAACAAACTCCTAAACAAAAGACTAATCAATTTAAAAAATAACTAATTAACTCCTAAAAAATAGGACATCAACAGCAGCCTTGAAACACCAACATTCTCCTCCTGGATCAAGTGCTGCACACTCCTAGCTTCTCCCTGAGAAATTCAAATCGACTAACATGAAATGACTTGGTGAATATATCTGCAATTTGGTTTTCTGAACTGCAGTACATTAGCTTCACTTCTCCAGCCTTCTGCACTTCTCTCAAAAAATAATACTTGATCTTAAGATGCTTTGTTCTTCCATGAAATACTGGATTCTGTGAAATAGCTAGAGCAGCTTGATTATCCACAAATACTTCTATGCCTTCTTTTTGCTCCAAATGCAGGTCATCCATCAGCTTCTTCAACCATAATGCTTGGTTTACAGCTGCAGTAGCTGCAATGAACTCAGCTTCTGCAGTTGATTGGGCCACTATTTCCTGCTTCTTTGAACACCAAGAAAAACAAGCTGACCCAAATGTAAAACAATAACCCGAAGTACTTTTCATATCATCCACTGATCCAGCCCAGTCACTGTCAGAATACCCTTGCAACTTAAACTTCTGAATTCTGCAGAATTTGATTCCATATGAAAGAGTACCTTAACACCCTTTTTGCAGCTACCATATGCAGTTCACTTGGACAATTAAGAAACCTAGACAAGACACTTATGGTAAACATAATGTCTGGCCTAGTTGCAGTGAGATACATAAGGCAACCAATTAAACTCCTATAAACTCTTTCATCTGCAGATTCCGATTCATCTTTCTTTTGAAACTTTTCCTTTTGACCCATTGGAGTACTTACACTCTTGCACTCCTCCATGTTGAATCTTTTCAGCATCTCCTTCAAGTACTTCTTTTGATAGATAAAAATTTCATTTTCAGTTTGTCTAACCTCCATCCCCAAAAAATATGACATCTCACCAAGATCAGTCATTTCAAACATTTTCATCATTTCCCTTTTGAATGCAGTAATCTGAGAATTATTACTCCCTGTTACCAGCATATCATCCACGTAAAGAGACACCACCACTAAGTCAGATGCTAACTTCTTGACATATAAAGTGGATTCACTAAGACTTTTTATGAAACCCAAACCCAGCAAGTGCTCATCCATCTTGCTGTACCATGCTCTAGGAGCTGCTTCAAACCATAGAGAGCTTTTCTCAGCAAATAAACCTTCTCCTCCTGATCTGGTGTGACAAAGCCTTCTGGCTGCTCAACATAAATCTCCTCTTGCAACTCTCCATTCAAAAAAGCAGATTTCACATCTAACTGATACACTTTCCATCCTTGTTGAGCTGCCAAGGCAAGAATCATTCTAATTGTATCTAGTCTTGCAACCGGAGCAAAGGTTTCTGAGAAATCAACTCCCCAAACCTGTGCATATCCCTTCACCACTAACCTGGCTTTATGCTTATTCACTGAGCCATCAGGATTGAGTTTGGTCCTGAAAACCCATTTTACTCCAATCATTTTCCTGTCCTCGGGTCTTTCTATTAGCTCCCATGTCTGATTTTTTTTCTATCATAGCCAACTCTTCCTTCATAGCATTCATCCACCTCTGATCACTTTTAGCTTCCTCATAACTTGAAGGTTCCAAAACAGCCACACTACACCTCTGATATATATCAGTCAGAGATCTGGTACCTCTAATTGGATCATCATCTACTAGCTCATCATAATCCAGTGAGACCTCCTTATGCTTTGCTTGTGGCTCATCTGTCCAGTCCCACTAATCATCTTCTAGGAACTGAACATCCCTGCTATTGATCACCTTCTTTGTCTGTGGTTGATAGATCTTGTAGGCTTTTGACACCAGACTATAGCCAATGAAAATTCCAGGTTCAGCTTTTTCTCCCAGCTTGTCTCTCTTGACCTGTGGAATGTGAGAAAAACACAGACAACCAAACACTTTCAAATTTTTTAGAAATGGCTTGAAACCAAACCAAGCTTCGAAAGGTGTCTTCTTTTCCAGTACCCTTGTAGATAGTCTACTTAACAAAAAAACAGCTGTGTTTGCTGCTTCTGCCCAAAATTCTTTTGGTAGATTCTTCTCATGCAGCAGACACCTAGTCATTTCCATAATGGTTCTATTCTTTCTTTCACTAACTCCATTTTGCTGTGGAGAATAAGGAACAGTAAGTTGATGCTCAATTCCAGCTTTCTCACAGAAAGTGTTAAACCTTTGTGAAGTGTATTCTGTTCCATTATCAGATCTGATGACTTGAATTTTGCAGCCACTTTGAGTCTCAACCCATCTCTTAAACTTCAGAAATATCTCAGCAACTTCTGACTTTTGCTTCATAAAATAAATCCAGCACATTCTAGTATAATCATCAATGAAGATAAGAAAATACCTGCTGCCATTTAGTGAAGGAGTCACGTGAGGACCACAAAGATCTGTATGAATTAGTTGTAGCTTCTTTGTAGCTCTCCAGGTGGATTCTTTGAAAGGAAGTCTTGTCTGTTTGCCCAAAAAACAAGCTTTGCACCTTGTGATCTGCTCCTCCAGGATTGGTAACCCAGTTGCCATTTCATTCTTCTGCATGAATAGTAAGCCTTTGTAATGAAAATGCCCCAACCTTTTGTGCCATATTTCTGAATCACTAGCCTGACACTTGAATGTCGCTTGCTCCTTCTCAAGGGGATTTAGAGAAAAACTCTTCTGTTGCATCTTTATTCTGAATAGCTCCTGACCATTTGAGTCAAAGATCAAACACTTTCCTTCTTCAAATATCACTTTAAATCCCTTTTCTACCAACTGCCCCACACTCAGCAAATTCTGATCAATATCAGGCACGTACATCACACCAGAAACCAGCTTAGTTCCAGCATAGCTCTCTATTGCTACAGTCCCTTTACCTTTCACTTCTAGATACTCTCCATTTCCAATTCTCACTCTTGACTGCAATGACTTGTCAAGGTCTCTAAATAGCTTTTCATCACTTGTCATGTGGTTTGTGCAACCACTATCAACAAGCCAACTATCACATGGAGCACTAGAGGAGAAACAAGAGGCAGCAAATAATTGATCTGCCTCATGCTGGTCTGCAACATGTGCCTCACCTTGTTGTTGATCTCCTTTTTCTTTGCAGAACCTTTCAATGTGTCCAAGCCTATGACACTTTCTGCACTTCACATCTGGCCTCTTCCAACATCTGAAGTGTGGGTGATTCTGCTTTCCACAATGCTTACATGAGGAATGCCCGCCCCAATTGTTCTTAGAGTTGATTGCGTTGTTCTCTCCTGCAGCAGCTTCTGAACCACTACTGTCATCTCCTTTCTTCCATCTTACATTATGCTGTTCTTTAGCCTGCAAAGCTCCTTCTGTACTTCCTTCAAGCCTCATTAACCTTCTCTGCTCTTGTGCTTGCAGAGCACTTAGCAATTCTGCCAACTTGATTTGAGACAAATCCTTGGTATTCTCCAAAGATGCAATGGTTGCTTCAAACCTTTCGGGCAAGGAGACAAGAACCTTTTGCACTAGCCTATTATCAGAGAGGTCGGTGCCTAGAGCTCTTGCTTGATTTGCAATATTTACCAACTTATCAGAATACTCCTTAATTGTTTCAGACTCCTTCATCTGCAATCTCTCAAATTGTGTGATTAGATTCAGCCCCTTCATGCTTCTAATCCTCTCATCTTCTTTATACTCATCTTTGAGGAAGTCCCAAATAGCTTGAGCTGATTCACAAGCCATAATTCTGCTGAAAATGGCAGGTGAGACAACAGCATATAAACAAGACTTTGCCTTTGCTTTTCTTGTTATCCTCTCCTTATGAAACTTGATCTGATTGATGGTTGGATTATCAGGAAGGGGAGCAACTTCATAATCTTGTTCTACAACTTCCCAAAAATCGCAACCCTCTAGATAGGCTTGCATTCTCACTGCCCATGCTTGATAATTTTCTCCATCGAATATTGGTGGAGCCATTGCTGAAAAACCACTCGATCCTCCCTCCATTAATTTCTCAAGTCACTCACAGCCCCTTAAGATCAAGAAGGCTCTTGATACCAATGTTGATCTTTTATGAGAAAAACAAACATCAGAAACAATATTGTGCAACAGCTTATTTTATTCTGACTAATGAACTTGTTTTTAAATACAAAACTGAGCTCATGCGGTTGCTACTAACCAGCTGATTTTGTTGGTCCACAAAATCAACAACAAACTAACAAAGCAATAACAGTAAAATGCAGTAAACAAACTCCTAAACAAAAGACTAATCAATTTAAAAAATAACTAATTAACTCCTAAAAAATAGGACATCAACAGCAGCCTTGAAACACCAACAGAACTATTTGCAAGAACCTAATCCTAAACACACCAATACACAACATAAGAAAAAAGTTAAACTATTAACATGCCAATTGATCTCTAACTGAAGAGATTTCAACAAAGATGGGAAGTCTTCTTGATCTATTTGTTCCCCATGCATTTAGTAATTCATCAATCCCTTTAACAAAGTCATCATCAAGGCCCAAAGTATCCATAAACTGAGGTTGAGGCATGTTGGCATTCAATTCTTCAAGCAATTCCTCAGCTCTTTTTTTGGACTTTATTTCATCAGACCCTGGAAGTTTTCCTTGTAAAACTTCTTCAAGAACAAGCAACGCTTCCTCATAACGAGATTGTCTCATAAGACATAAGACCAAGTTGCAAGCCTTATTGGCATCAGCATCTATCATTTGGGCTTTCTTGAACACCACCTCAGCCATCATGTAGTTTGTCTTTTGCATGTAGGCCCAGCCCAAGTTTCCCTACAACATCAATCAATATATTAAAATCTGAATTCTAGGGGGGAAAAAATATTGAAAGATGCATGAAGACCATGTTTCATGATTTAAAATACATGTTTGGCATTTTGTTTAAAATTTTCATGATGTGCATTGTTTTTTGAAGTTTGAATCTAAGCAAGAAGAAAAAAAGAAAATGCGAAATAAGGTCTAACAAAGTCAATGATTTAAGTACCAATAATCTTGCAGTTTCTTGCTTTATGGAAACTTGGAACTTCTTGCCATGAGAGCGAGCAGTCCTTGTGGTCCTTCCATTAAAGGCCTCTCCTTGGTATATTAATCTAAGCTTTCGTTTGAGCAAATCAATTTGCTCTTCTATTCTTCCACATTTCTGTCTTTCAGAAAAACTAAATTAATTAGATTGATCATATTATATTGTTTAATTGATTAATTCCTATTAACATGTCACTATGAAACCACATAAATTGATAATTTTACCCTTTTTATATATCACGGGTTCATCAATTACCCGATTAATCTAGTTCGAGTATTGTCATGCCCATTATAGAGGTAATTAAGTTCTCCCAAGATTATTTTCTTTATTTCCACCTCTGGCTAAAAGTACTGAATATGACGAAATGAACATTATAATTGTATATATGTATAGTTCATGTAGGTGTTCATACCTTGTAGAGGTCAAGAAGTACATTATCAAGTGACTCTTGAGACTGTTTGGAACAAAGGACTCTAAAAGATCTTATGGCTTCAATAGCTTCTTCAGCTCTATCTAATTGCTTCATCACAACAGCCATGTCCTTTAGCGCACTGTCCACTTTGTCTCCAGCATTTATTGCCTTCCAAAATAAGACTATAGCTGCTTCTGGGTCTTTATCAACCAACTGCGTTCATATCCATTTGTTTCCAAGAAAATAATGATAATAATTAGTTTCAAATTATGACTATTCATTCAATTACAATAAAAAGATTACATAAAGAAAATACTTCAACTGTTATAGTTAAGAGATTTGGCTAACAATTTTAGTTGTGTATGTGTGTATTTACACTCTCAACTCAAATGAAAGCAGATATGATGCTTAAAGCAGATTACTACATATGTTTCTCATAATTCAATGACAATCATATATATACTAAACATCAATCTACATAATACTTAAATATAAAAGTAGTTCTATAAGATATTACAATAATGTCAGAATGGATTGTTTATCTTGGCCAGTGTAAGAGTCTTGTTCACACTCAGTGATTTGAGAACTAAACTTCGAAGTTTGAGCATGTCTTTGGAGCCCCACGGAAAGAAAAAAGATAGTGTTATATATATATATATATATATCATATGAATAGCTTCAAAAATAAAAAAGGAATATAAAGAAAAAGAGATTCTTGAGTTTGTAAGATTTTCTGAATCTTACCAAAGCACCAAATCCGATAAAATAGGAATTATAATTATTACTATATCATGGTAAAAGAAGTAAAACTGAATACAAGTGGAAATGTTAGACACTTCAACTTGAAGTCAATGTTTATGGTAATTTATTACATATCCATATGTTTTCTGTTTTGGCATATTTTCTTCATAAACAAACAGAGCAACTTTTGTTTCAGCATAATAGATATATGTGCATATTGGTCAATTCAGAATAATTAAGTATTTTTTCAGTAAAGCACTACTAAAACTTTTTCTATTTTGGAACCAAAATCAGTTTCACACAACCCCATAAGCATACATTTCAATGATTACAAATATCAAGAATTACAAAGATGGTGCAGTTATCAGGTTTGAAGATATATATATATGATTTCATTTATGCAGGAACAATAGTACTTTCAGATACCAAATCATAGTTCCAACTTAAACAAAATTGAAAATGGTAAGCATATACCTGAGCATGTTTGGCTTTGACATAAGGACTATCTCCATAAGGTACCTTATGAATAACATGATAGAGGTCATCTTTCTTTCCCTTTGAACTCTTCTTGCAGACACTTCCATCCATCTCTTTCTATGTCACACAAAACCAAGTCTTTTATGTTTCTTTTGTTTTTAGGTACACATGCCCCCTTATGATGAGGAAGAGAGAGATTCAATGTAAAGGGGGATCTACTCTCATTATAAGGAGATAGGAGGATAATATATACAAGGAATCTATGACACAAGCAACTATGAATCTGGATGGGACTGCGTCCATATTCCCTCTATGCATAGTTTCCCACATAACAACTAATCATGTACCAATAGCTAATTGGTATGTGGCACGTGTCATTATTTTGTTTATCATTGTTTCATTTCACCCACTGTACTTTTGTGTACAGCAAATAGATACAGTGGCTCGCATCATAGATTCAGATTAGTGTCTAAGTACATTCTTACACTGTTCATTTGACAATAGGACAAAATTTTGAAGATTACACTCTCTTTATTTTTACAATAAAGATACTAAAGTTAAAATATAATATTAAGAATTGAATTATTATTTTTTAGATAATATTTATCGATTTATGAATTATTTAATTAATCCAATTCGAATAGAGTAAAATCATATTGACGATAAAACTTTCTGTACCAAATTTTAATATATTATCAATGTAAAAGAATTTTACGCTTACTTGTTGTTATACTGTTTAATGAATTTAATATTTCATATAATTATTAATAAATTTAAACTTATTAATTAAATAACATGTCAACTCAGAATTAGATAGAAGTGTAAAAAAGTTTTATTAGAATAACAGTATATCAAAATTAAGCTTATTTATCATTTATTAATTAATTGTTGATTAGATTTAAGTGATAATTGCAAATATTTGTTGTAAATCAGTGATTAATAATATATATTGTTAAGTTATTTGTTAATTAGAATATATGGAAAAGTATATTATAAATGGTCTGGCGTGTCGATTCAGATTATATCTTAAGGAATAGTTTTCTTATTCGATTAGAATTTAGAGTATAATATTAATACAAATTGGGACTAATGTTTTGAAATTTGTATCATGTAAGCAAATTAATTTAATACCAATTTCATATCATTTAATCCTTATTCTTTCTACTTTCTTACCTACTTAATTCCCTATAATTGTAACATGAATTCAAAGAGTATTATACTCGATTACCTGTCACATCATTATTTCGCTGTTAAATTTTTTAGAATATAAAATGGGTCCCCAACTTTTCATGTTATTGTACATTTTTTTTCTCTTATGCAACCAATTACAACTATGTACTCGAGGAAGTACAAAATTGTATTATTAATGTTATTTTTTCTTTCTCCGCTACGTTAGTCGAAGTCTTTCGAGGAGAAAAAAAATAGCTTTTAAAATTACAATTATGTACTACCCATAATACATAGTTGTAATTGATTGTTGCAAAAAAAATTTCCTTGCAACAACATAAGAAGTGATTTTGCCATATAAAATTAATGTAGACCTTTACTAAGCGGCGTAAAGGATCCAATAAGGAAACATGTATATCATGCATATACGCAACCCCATAATGCACAAAGCCTCTTCAATAGTCAATGGCTAAAGAACAAGCATAAAGTTCCCATTATTCCAAGGTATCATAGCCCATTAAAAGTCATCTCATAGTCAGAAAAGCCAACATAATCCACCAATGAGAGATATATCGTCATACTAGCATATATATTTAGCCAAATACTTGTTCTATCAAGTTCAAAACTTGTTCCTATAGTTATAGCACAGATCAACACAAATAAAAGAAAAAAACAAAATCACAAATAGGGAATTCTTCACGAGATTCCCTCAGTACAATCGCCACTGGAAGAACGCACATCACTAAATAATTAATCAAATAAGATTATCAATGTCGGAGCATGGATTTGATAAATATTATGCATAATTATGATAAAAATATTATTTAGAAAGTCGAATAATGCTTAAAGTCTCTTTTCTAATGAAAACTGCAGATACCAGTTTTGCTTCGTGATATAAACGCGTACCGATGAAGTGTTCCGAAAAATTATAAAAAAAATATGACAATTCCTAGAAAAATGTCTAGGTTAAGAATATGAAGTTTGGGAGTAAAATAATTAGTGGAGCTATTAGAACTAATACAGATGGATTAAGTGAATGCACCTATAAATAAAAATTTGCACATAACCCTAGGTCATATTCTACCAATTTCTACGTAGTGTCTTCATTTCCTTCATAGCTGCCATGAACCCTTTTGCATAGCTCTTGTCACCTCCCCTTCAAGAACACCTCAATACACCATTTTTCTTCTTTCTTGAGTTGATCAACCATTGATACAACTTGAAAGTAACTATCTTGCGAGGCAAAAAGATCCCTTCTTGGAACCTTCTTATTGCTGTTTTAGGGAGGTCAGAGTGAGCCTTGTGAGTTTTTAGAGTTTGAGCCAATATCAAGCATGCTTGGAAGCTCTTAGCGGTGAGAGGAGTGATTTGCATCACTCCATTTTCGTGTACGGTGCTTGGTGGAAGCAAAGAGTGGATTTTCCAACCTTAAAGACACTCCATTTTCTGTTTACGGAGCCTTGGGTACCTTCTACACCTTCGTTCTTGAGTTTTTATAGAAAAGAATGAACATTGATGCAGGTATAAGAGAAAGCTGGTAACCGAAGTGTAAAAATGGTATAACACACCTAAAAAGGCATGCTTGAACGTTTGGTGTCATGAAAAATGGAAGGATATCTTCGCGAAAATGCAAAACTGCATTCTGTCGCGAAATATCTGGATATTAATATCCGGATATGGATATCCGGATATTGACCCTGTGATATCTGGATATTGATATCCGGTCCCCGAGGAATATCCGGATATTCTAGAAAATTCATGTTTTGAGCTATCTTGTCCAAACAGAAGCGTGAGTTAGGTTTCTGGACCCTTAATTGGTTAGTATGAACCTCGGTAATAATCTAACTAAGTCAGAATCAATGAGATTGACTGCTTATGGCTTTGAGAGAAGCCTACGGTCATTAAACGAAAAAGGAAACATTATCTTAAGGCAATGAACTTCTAGACTATGAATATTAATGATATTTCTAGTATAAACAGACTGTGATTGTGCTGTTTGGTGACCCGTGGACCTTGTGTGGAATTCTAGTTAGTAATACTAACCTGACAAGTAGCTTTCGTTTCCTCAATTTTATCCATTGATAGTTCCACCATACTTCATAGAGGGGTGATTTATATGCATGATGTATTTTCTGAAAATATGTGAAGAATGTTTGATATATTGTTGAGCTGGTTTATGAGTGCAAATGTCATATGTTATGTATGTGGGGTGTTCCACCCTAGACGGTAATCCCTGAGTATGTGAGGCACGTACAAGATGGTAACTCCGTGGGTGAGGCACAAGAGAGGAGCCTTGTACTGTGGGTTGCAGACATGCGTAATCCCTACCTTTTATTCTCTAGCCAGTAGGATGCATACACACATGACATAGACATATGCTGCATTGCATGGAGATTTGCAATTATACTGTTATTATCTTTTTGAACTTATATTGCACATGTAAGTGAGCTTGGGGTGAAGAGATCCTTGAGGGCCCCTTGTCTTACTGAGATTTCTTGTTAGAGATCTCACCTCGTGTGGGACACATTTTCAGGTACAGGTGTTCCTGAGGCTGAGACCTCCTAGGAAGTTTCTCATGAGGTGTGTGAGTGATGACAAAGCACGCTGAAAAGTTTTGTGTTGGTTTGTGGGGACAATCCTTGATCCTGCAAGTGGTCCGACCTTACACATATGAACTATTACTTATATGTAGATCCTTTATAGTAGTATCCATGAGATGATCTTTCCCTAATGAAGAAGAATCAGGTAGGCTTAAAATATTTATCATGGGATGTAAAAGATTTGGACATGGATGCTCATATTCAGACTCACTCAGCACAACAGGATTACTATTACTCCCTTCAATTCTTCTCCCAGATTAGTTATTCCTAGTAGAAACCACAAGAGAACCTTTGGACGCATCTCTCCCCTGCAAGACCTAAACCTCTTTTTGATAGGTCTTTTTGTTTTCTAATCTGGGAAAAAGAACCTCTGTCATAACACTTTAATGAAGGAGGCTTTTCCCCAAGCAACTTGGCTTTCTCCCAAGTGAAAATACCTTCTCCAAATAACCACCATTTTCTAATACTCAATGACTCAGCACAACCAATTCCAGAGTTTGCATAATCATAAATTTCTACCATTCTTATATAAGAAGAAAAATTACTTAAGGACATTTGATCAGATGCAAAAAAGTGTGTTGAAAAATAAAAGGGAAGGAGGAATATAAACCCAAAAATCAAAAAAAGCAAAATATGGCTAAAAAAATCCAAAAAAAAAAAAAAACATCAGAAAGGCAAATACAAATGTAAACCCATAAAAGCAAAGGAGAAATGCCTATAAATGCAAGTAAAACCCAAAACAAAAAAAAATATAAGAAAAAGAGAAAGGAAATGCCAATACCTTAACCTATGAAAGTGCTTGAACTCTAAATCCTTTTTATATAAGCCTGGAAGCAACATGATCACAATGAAACCAGAAAATAAAGATTTTTTGGAAAAAGGAAAAAGCTTTAGAAGATTTCTTTGAAGGGGTTAGGAAGAGAAGAAAATGGTTAAACGAAAGATAGGAGAGAGTTTTTACAAATGAAATGATAAAGTTCACTCCATTCTCAAACTATACAAAAGGTCATAAAGGGGAAAAAAAGGTAAAAACAAAGGAAAATATTAAACAGTAAAAGTGAAATCCTAAAAGTACTATACATGTGTCAGATATTAGAGACACATGATTAAGACATTTTAATAATTATCATTTAACTGACAATTCAAAGTCTTATCAACTGATTTTAAGTGGCGATGTGACAGTTATTAACTAAAATAGAAGGTAACCCCCTAAATTTTACTTTTTACCACAACAGTACACGAGGAATGATACCACAATAATTGTACATCCCGCTCCTTATGCTAATGACATGAGCAATGGGCTAGGGGCAACTGATGTGGACCGATACTAAGTTGGATAAAGGATTCAATCTAATAACTGCCCAAAGGCCCAAAGACATAAACTTAGTTAGTAAGGAAACATCTATATCGCGTGTATACATAATCCCTGAATACATTGCTAGATTGACGACATCGCAGGAGCAACATGCCTCCATAATCACTAAAGGCTAAAGAACAAGATAAGGTTTCAGTTATGCCTAGGTATCATAGCTCAATAAAAGGTATTCTGCAGACAAAATAAAATGACAAAGCCACTGTAATCCACTAGTGAGAAGTATACCGTCACATTAAGGTGGCATAACAAGGCAATAAGCAGGTCATGTCACTACTATAAAAGAGATGCTCAAAGCCCCAAGTATAATCATCTTCTTCCAATTTACTCAAACTTGTCATTCAAATACTAACTTCAGCGTCAAAAAGTCTTATAGGTACCCAACCCCATCTTCCCCAAATAAACATACTCCAATGGTATCACAATCACTATAATGCTTATATCATCCCATGTAACAAAGCAAATCCCATCACAATCATCCATCAATAATCCCTTTTGACCGAATTTAACCATGTGTAATCAAGCTCAATTCATATTGGACTAGTATTATTATATCTATAATTATTTTCCTTTTGTCTTTATCAATATACCTTAAACCCATTGCGTCTATTTTCAAAATCCATTGTCCCTGCTGCGTAGTTTTTGAGATATCAAATAAAAAGTTAGACATGTTATTCAAAGTTTTTCAAGGTTACCCCCGTTCTCCAGTTGATGATACAATATTTGTAAGTAATACTCTATCATTATTTTTTATTACAAGAAAAAATTATTTATTTACATCATATGTTAATTTTTAGTTAGCTATTTTCTTCTGTTATCATTTTTTTATCTATCTATTTTAGATGCATTTTAAAATTATGCATATTTACACTTCAAAAAATATTATTCGCTTACATTGTTTTGGACCGGTCATCTTGCCCAATCCACTGAGCTTCGGTTATGGCTCTCTCTTTTAAGATTATGAAATAATTTTCACTTATAAATATCCCTTCTTCAGCTATTGAAGGAAGTCTTAAATCTATCATTCTATGATTTGCTTCTCTGTTAAAATACAGAGTTACCGTACCCTTTACACCATCTTTCACTCTCAACATTCGACTAAGGAATACACGGTGACTCCCTTATAAAGTGTTTGTCCATACTCCATACTCCATACTACAGCTTCTAAAAGCTTATATCGAGATATTTCACCTTATTAAAGGAAACATCTAATCTCATCACAGTTCATACACTATCACAGCATCTGTCTGAACATTTTAAATTAAAAATAAAATAAAATTAAATACATACATATATATATATATATATATATATATATATATATATATATATATATATATATCTTGTAGATCCCTACACAGATGAATTATTGAAAGAAAAAAAAATTGTTCTTTTAACATAACGTAGTACTGTGATATTATTGTAAAAATTAATAGCAAGAATGATAAACATTTGTTCTTTGTCTTGAATGGCATGATGATGGGATGCTATTTTGAAGGAAGCTAATCAATCGGAATATCAGTCTGCATATATATTCGTATTAAATAATGGTGTATTTGTAAACAAAAAACAACAGATAAAAGCAGAATTTGTTGGCCTTTTCTTGACGTCACAATGTTTGTAAGGTACATTACAAGCCACGCGAACCTGGACTGGAATCAAGTTAGATTCAATTAGATGCATTTTATGAAATGGGTTACAACTTACAACAATGCAGAGGCTTTCCATCATTTTTGACATCCAAGTGTTGTCATTTTCGCCGATTGATGTCATTAACAAAGAAATTACCCATTTTCATTTCATCAATTATCAAGGTTTGTTTGAATAGAATGAAATGAAATAAAGTAAATAAATCGAAGATCTTAATCTATGCTGCACCGACATCGATATGAGATACAATACGACACGACACTCAGACACGTTAATTCTAAAAAATATTAAATTTTGACACGTTAGGACACGTTTTGATAGTATATAGTATTTTTAATTTGTATAGTGTATATTATTATATTTAGTATTCAATAATTTAACAAAAAAATAAAGCTAAACTTACAATACCCATCAATTTTGCAAAGAAACATAATATATCTCAAATATTTATATTAAACTCAATAAGGTCGTAATCGTAATCTAACAAATTTATATACTTTGAACTCAATAATATGAAACTCAATGAAACACAACATAATCTTTAAATCTTTTTTGAGTCTTTGCAAAGAGTATTGGAATGTCGAAAAGTATCGGTGAGTGTCGAAAAGTGCCAACACGACACATCAAATTTTTTAAAGTGTCAGCATGGTAGATCTTAATCATTAGTATTTGAATGATTCAAAATTAAATAACGCATGATAGAATTCATTTTATTACATTTTATTTAATTTATTTTTTTAATTAATAAAAATATGAGGTAAAATCATCTTTATTTTTTATAATATTATTTAATATTCTTTCACTTTTATAATTAATAATACTTTTTTGTTTTATCATAAAACATTTAAACAAATAAAATATTTATTTCATTTCATTTCCTTTTATTTTATATAAGCTATTATCAGATATCGATCTGCAGATAACCTAACAATTGATGCAGAGACAGTATGTGAACCCATACACTGCATCAACGATTTGTCAGTCTATCCGTTAATTATTTTATTTTTTTCATGCAAGTATGAAATGGTAATTATATATGCAAATATGCAAGTACGAAAATATGAACAAAAGATAACACAATTTACGAGTTCTCTCTCTCTCTCTCTCTCTCTCTCTCTCTCTCCATATATATATATATATATATATATATATATATATATATATATTCAATATTTCTCTTATCACATTTATTTATTTATTTTAAAAAAAATTCAATCATTTACCAAATCTCATTTCTCCTCTCCTATAATGTAACAAATAAAAAACAATTATCAAATAATTACTCCAATTACATTTCACATTTTTCTTTAATTCAATAAGTGAACAATGGAATTAATTCAATTGTAAAACACCATTAAGAAAATATGATCAATAACATATATCACTAAAGACTGTTCTGACAATATCAGTTAATTATTTATACCAGTAAATTTTTATCTTAAATTTTCAGTTTACTTATGTATTTTACATACCAATACATTAATAAGTTATGGAAGACTTTCTAATAACTAATCACCTTAATGATGGCCTGCATAATAAACCTTATGCCCTTCACGCAAATGGAATTCCAAATTTACATTTTCCAGTAAAAGTGTAACTACTTGGATTTATTTGAACATCATGCAAGGTTATCAGAAAAGCTACTTTGATTAAAAAAAACCATATAAAAACCAGATACAGATAAAAATATGGTGTTGGCAACCATAAAAGTTGAAATGAATTACAGCAATCATAAAACCAAGATGCTTTCCAGCTAAATCTAAAGATGAACAAAACCTTGCCCCGTATCAATTTCATGACAAAACATAAAATACTGCTTAATAATGCAGGATCATGAGCCACATCACACTATCAACACAGCATTCTAATAAACACTAACCGCACTGGTCAAGGCAAGCATTTAGCAAGAATCAATAGCATCCATTGCTATCATGCCTGGTTGCCACCACCCCTTGAACGTCCACCCATTCGTCCACCCATTCGTCCTCTACCACGGCCATATCCCCTGCCTCCACCTCTGCCTCTTTCATAACCAGCACCTCCTCCACCTCTGCCTCCTTCATAACCTCCACCTCTGCCTCCTTCATAACCTCCACCTCTGCCACCTTCATAACCAGAACCACCTCCACCTCTGCCACCTTCGTAACCAGAACCTCTGCCACCTTCGTAACCAGAACCTCTGCCACCTTCGTAACCAGAACCACCTCCACCTCTGCCACCTTCGTAACCAGAACCTCTACCACCTTCATAACCAGAACCACCTCCACCTCTGCCACCTTCGTAACCAGAACCTCTACCACCTTCATAACCAGAACCCCCTCCACCTCTGCCACCTTCGTAACCTGCACCTCCACCTCTGCCACCATAACCTCCTCTGCCACCTTCATAACCTGTTACAAAACGCAGTAGTTAAAGTTCAGCTTATAATCAGATTGAAGAAGCATCTTCTAGGTATATATACTTCATAAATATAACAACAGTTTTTCACATTTGGCCGGGATAAGTGCATTAACTAAGAAAATAGGTAACTAAGTAGCATTTACATGTTGCATTCCTCAAGAGGAAAAACATAAAGCAGGATAAAAAACAGACCTAGAGTGAAAAAAGCTCTTTCTTCCTACTGTTATTTTTACTCAGAAAAACAAAATTAAAAGGTAATAAACAACAAACAAAGAGCACAAACTCAAGTAATTAGAATAGATAAAGAAAATCCATTAACATTTATCATCATCACAGCAAAATGGGGAGAATATGCAATCAAGTAAACATACCACGATACCCCCAACCTCTTCCACGCCCACCCCCTCGGCCACGATTTGAATACCCACCATTATCTGTCAGGAACTGAGCACAATTAAAAAGAAGACTAACTAAAGAGAATTATATAAACATCCAGACAATAAGATGAACAACCAAAGCACTATAACTCAGCATTCAGAATCCATACCTTGATAATTTGCATATCCACCCTGGTAATACCCATATCCACCTTGATAATTTCCATAACCACCTTGATATCCATAACCACCCCTTCCCCAATTCCTTCCTCTCCCTCTACCCCTACCACGACCTCGACCTCGGCCATACGAGACTAAAAGAAGATATTGGATGTGCTAAAAGTTAGAAACTATAGTGTATTTAACAATCTGATGACTAATTATTGTAGAAGATATATGCATGGTTACCTTCATTTACAGCATCATAAGGACCATGTGCAGGTTTTATAGCTTGCTGCTGATAATTGAAGTGTGGCTTTGGTTGTTCCACATTATATGGAGCTTGATAACTATAAACAAAATCATATAGACAACATCCTAAATAGGTCAAGTCAAACAATCCAGGAAAGGATTCATGATATAGGCTTGGAAATTATCCCCAGCAGGCCATTATAACAGGCAACACTTCAACCTGAATAAAAATTAGAAATAAGATCATACAAGTTCTTTCAAGAACTTACCCAGGAGAGTTTTTGTTTAGTTCTCTAGTTGATAAAGTGACTGAGATCATAGAGACATGTCGAGTCATTTCCACACTGCATTAAATTTGATGTTCAGCAACTTTGCTACCCAAATACACAAAGATGCATGCACAAGGTGGAAGCTTCATATAAACTTACGGTACAAGACCCTCCTCAATGGGTTCCCACACATCTGTTATGCTAACTGAACTGATTGCAGTCTCTTGGTGCAGCGCAATCCTCTTCTGCATAAGGAGATACAAAGCCAGTCACGGAAAAATCAACCTGAATTCTGAAGCATCCTGTATTTTCTTGATTTTGACCTTTTTTAACTTTTCAATAAACATTCATTCTAAAGTTATTGGCCTGGGAACCCCCCAATTGTCTGTCATTATTTCCATTTATTATAGGGCCATTTGAAATTTCTTCATATATTTCGCTCTTTTTTACTGGAAACATATGCTAGACTGTCAATTGCATAAATTTTAAAGAAAATAAAATGAACAAGAGAGGAACTCGTTCCAAAGAGTTTTGACCTTTAAAATCTCTACAATGGCAACTGTCTTGCTGATTGCTTGTCCCATTGCCTTCAAGACAATCTCCTTTGCATGCTTTTCCTGGATGGATTACAACATACAACAATAAAACAGCATAAACCAGCATATCATGACTAGTTTCTGGCAGATCTGCAAAATATGAATAAATAGAACATGCATAGGCATGTAGGGGTGTAAATGAGTTCAGCTATCCATGAACTATTTAACCTAAACTAGTTAAATGCTCAATCCAGCTTGTATGTGTATCTAAATAAACAAGCTCAAGCTCAAGCTTGGCTTTAGAATCGATTATATAATTGAGCTAAGCTCAAGCTTTATAGGTTTGATGTTAAAAGCTCGTGAAAAGATCATGCGAGTGAGTATATGCAACAAAAAAATGTTAATTTTAGATAACAAAAGTGGTACAGATGATAATAATTTATACATTTCTATTACTTAGTATATTGTCATTTATCTAGAGAATAAAAATTACTTTACTTCCATTTTCAAATATTCTTTCTTTTCTTTCCCCCGATTTTCACTTCATCTTCTTGCATGAAAATGTCTACTAAATACTAAATTAATAAACTTCAAAATACTTCAAGAAGAGAATTTATAAAGGGAAAGAAAATAATCAAGCTAAAACAAGCCAGGCTCAAGCTTCATATCTTTAAACAAGTCAGGCCTGAGCTTTAAATTTGGCTTGTTTAAATAATCGAGTCAAGCTTGGGCATCATCCTTTTCTTCACAAGTAAACCTGACCTTCAAGTGCTTGCTTCACTTGAGTCATTTACACCCCATACACATGAATACAAACACAGCACAAAATGACATGTCCCAATTAAAAATAACTGCAGTAAAGAGGTCTAACAATTAACTAACTAGAAATGTTCAAAAAAAACTTTCAACTGACGATATTAGAGTTTATATAATGATTTTTCTACAAGAAAAGACAACAAAATCAGGTTTCAAATAAATTATAGTCAGCAAGTAAAAGAAGCAATTCAGTAATATTGTACAATAATTTCAATAAATGAGAAAGGAGTGACAAAAGAATAAAAAACAGAAGTCAAAAAAGTCAAGTAATCCTGATCATCGTTGTCAAATTGTGACACCCATTGTGAATCTGAATGCTGATTTCTTAACGTTGAATAATGAATAGTAGCATAAGATATGTTAACAGAGTAATAAATAATTTTAAAAAAAATTGTAAAAGATGCATATACATGTAAAGCGAAAAAAATGCTAATTCAAGTTAACAAGAATAATATCACATATGACACTTGACCAAATATTTAGAAACCTAATTTTAATCACAAATTTTACATATGTCAAACCATATATACATAAATCATAGATTAATATCTGATTATGTTTAAAAATTATGCAAGCAAAAAATTAATAAAATCATAAAAAACGTGGCAAACAGAGTTCGACAGTCACACAAAGATGCATAAGGTCTCCATTTGAATAGAAACAGAAGAATGGCAGAGCAAAACAGATTCTTTTCTGGCCTTGGTGAATTTTCAAATGATTGAGTGTCCGTTGGGAAAATAAAAAGCAAAGAAAAATTAATACCATTTGTTATATCAGCCTATTAGATCCAATCACCAATTTAAAAAAAGCATTTCTGGTACTATAGAATTCTTCAATTCATCAAATCACCCCAATCTGCACCACAACATCATGATTCTAATAGGTTTCCAATTCAAATTCTGATTGGAATTGTTCCATTTGTTTATTGCATCGAATTGTATGATTTGAATCAGAAATTGTAAAATTTCCATTACAATGGCCCAAATTTTAAGTGTAGCAGAGATAATAGTGTGGAGCTGGAGCTGGATGAGTAAGCATAAAAGATAAGAAAAAATTCACAAGGTTGAAGTCGCACATATTGATGAGAAAATGACACAAACTCATCTAAGGTAGTTTGGTCATGTAGGGGAAGATCAACATAAGCCCACCTAGCGGGATAAGGTTTTGTTGTTGATGATGTCAATCCAAATTTTGTCAGAATAAATAACTTAACCACAGAATACCAACACCTACCCTGCAATTTGCACAAACGAAAAAAAGAGGGGGAGAGAGAGGAGGGTACAGGCAACAGACACCACAATTATGTTCTTGTTTAGATTAACTTATTTGAGTCAATACATTAACAAAAACATAAAATCACAGATAAGTTGAATGGGTTCAAACATGAAGTGTATAACTAACAAATTTAAAAAGTAAATGTTGAGATTTAAATACTAAAAGAAAAACTACAGAACCTCAAAACTTAAAAAATAAATATCATTTTATTTTGATTTACAAACTTAAAAGAAAATTTTTAGTTTTTCTCATTTAATATATTTCTTAATACAACAATTTCTTTCAATCTCTTCTACTTCTATAAGAAGACTTCCTAATTTGTAATTACTTCAATTTCCTACTCAGTTTAAGAAATTTCTGGGTATGCAGCTGCTTGGCTTTTGTTAACAAAATGTAAAAGCCAATCATCGCCTAGATTGTTGTCATTATCCATTAAAATGAACTTGGCTCCTTATTTCCTAATACCAAAGGTTTAATTAATTAGTAATTTCCCCAATCTCCCTAATTGAATGTTGTATGAGGGATTTCTTCTTGTAGTGGTCCTCTTCTTCTTTCTGCTAATTTAAATCATTTCTATTACAAATACACAAATTGCAGACATCATGTATCATCCCTGTTCTAGAATTACAGTATGGACCATTTTGATGATTGGAAAAAGCATGGAACCGAACAAAATAGATACCCCAAATTAGTCAAACAAAAGAAAACCAAAAGCCACTGAACATTCCAAAAAATACCACATCAAAACAGATATATAACAACTTGAATAATCCACAAAACAACAATTCCTTCTTCTATGCATTGATTAAATAAACTATGCCCATTACAAGCTCTTAATAATATTAACAAGGACCACTAACACTTACCCTGAACTTTATAGGCCAAATTGTTAAAAAACAATGAAGGGTAGTTTAATTATTTATTTATTTATTTCGTAACCTAATATCTACATACAATCAAAGGCTAGGAGAACAAACGGAAACACACAATGACACCAATCACAGACAACTCAAATACACAAACCTCGTCAATTGTAAATCAATCAATAAGCAATGTTAAAAACACGAATCCGACAACTCGGAACATTCCGAAAATGCCACCTCAAAAACCCAGAAACTGATAAGACAACCTCAATCCTCACAACGAAATAAAAAAATATAAAAAAAAGCAAAAAAATATATATCACTACGGGTTCACATTCGTTGAATCATCGATTCATCAAATACTACGCCAACACACAAAACAACTCGGCATGCAAAAGAATCGAGGAAAATGCAGATTCATTGAAGCAAAAGGGGAAAAATGAGGACCTGAAGAAGGGAACTGGCGTAGGTGATGTAGTTTCGGATAGCGCCTTGGGTAGTGATTCGGATCTCATTCTCGTTGATGGGAGATTCAGGTTTAGGCTTCTCAACTTTCTGGTACCTATCCATGGTTGTTTGGGAAGAGAGAGAGAGAGAATGGGAATGGGAAACCCTAAGCTTAAAACCCTAAGCGAGAGTATGAAAAAAAGAAGAGAAAGACGATAGAAGATTATAAAGTGTTTTTTTTTCTCTCTAAAACCTCAGGGTCCGAATGTTACGCTTACGGGTTTGGGGTTATACCAGTGAAACCCTTGCTGCATGCCTCAATCATCTTTTCTTTTTTTGTCATCCCTGCCAGCGTGTGGGTCACACGTACGGCTTAGATTGGCTTCTCTGCTTTTTTTTATAATTTTTTTTAATAAAAGATAATTAAACCAGAGATAAATGTTTATAAAAAAAAAACAGAGTATACTTTGTTTTATATTCATTTATAGGATTGAATTTCAAAATGGAAACAAATTAAAATATTATATTATTTAATGATCAAAATTTCATTGCGTTTAAGGGACACTTGCCTATTTGTTTTAGGATTTTTGAGAGAGCTATGGTCTCTTCAAATTCTACATACTTCAAGGCGATCTTTTTTTCCCAATGTATCACGTATTCTTCATTCATAAATACAAGATTAATAACCCTTGATTACGGAATTGATTAGTCATAATGCAATTACATAATTATAGGATCAATTACCCATAATTATAAAAATAATTACCCAAAATATTCACTAAAAATGTGATTTATAATTAATATTTCTAACTAATATCGAATCTACCCATAATTAAAATACTGCACTTATTATGCACTGTCAAGGTTTGACAGTGCATGTGATTTTCTTGGCGCATATGCATTTCATATTTTTTTTAGACTATCTTTGCACTCTTCCCCCTTTTTTTTTTTTTTTTTTTTGATAACATGCACTCTTCCCTTTTAAATAAGATAAATTATATATTTTTTACTCTTCAGCACGTATAAAAGTGACTAAATTGAAAATTTATGATTGATAAAAAAGTTAATAAATAAATAATAGTGACCTTAAACACCTTTTATAATTAGAAATCAATACGTCTAAAAAAATTAAAAATTAAAATAATTTATTATATTAAATAGTCCTAAATTGAAGGCACAAATTCTCGTTGTAAACAAATCTCTTAGCGATATTGAACCAAACAATAAAAGAGTTTCCTAAGATTTTTTTTTTCTTCAAACATGATTCTAATGATCATGACAAGCAAGAAAATTTTGAATTTCATGACTCTAATTGTCCCTTTGGGGTGATTTAGACCCTTTGGATATCTCCCACGACCCGAGCAGACAAAATGGCCCTTGTAGATATGAGATTAATCTTAAGTCAAGCAGTGTCGCAATTATATAGCTCTTACAACCAATTTTGAATATTCTTATTATTGACTTTGGAACTTCACTTAAAAAATTTATTTCATCTTTTAAAATCTTGTAGAAAATAATAGGTTTTAAAAGTTAGTTGTGAGTAGGGGTGTTCATCAACCGATCCAAACCGATTCAAACCGTGAAAATCGAACCGAAAAATCGATAACCGAATAAACCAAAAACCGAAAAATCGAAAACCGAAAGAAAACCGCAAATTTTAATTGGATTGGATCGATTTTCGGATGGGTTGATGAAAACCGATCCAATATATTAATTATCCTCTACTTACTTGTCCTTTCTCCAATCATAGCCCAAAGATTTCTAAACTCAAGACCCATTAACTCATCAACTAAACCCAAAAAAAAACTTAGTCACGTCTCATCAACTCTATAGTATTGTTTACTGATATTTTTGTATTTCAATTTTTTTTTTACAAAGTCAATATATACAAAAGATGTTATTTGCACAATAATCATGAAATTAATTTTAGGATATTCAAGAAACCGAAAACCGATCTAATCCAAACCGAAAAAAATTGGATTGGATCGGATCGGATTTGAAAAAAAATCTAAACCGAATGGATGATTACATGATCAAACCGAAGGGATTGGATTGGATGAGTTTTGCTTCCAAAACCGATCCAATCCAGACCGCGAACACCCCTAGTTGTGAGCCACCTTGACAATTTCAAAGAGAAAAACTAGACCCTAAAGAATTTTTTTTTATTTCTAGTGGACACCCTTAAAGATTCATTTATATTAAAATAGATTGAAGTTAGCATATATTAATCTCTCAATGGATGAAAGTGTCATTTTCAAATTAAAGAAGATAATGTAATTTAAACATTTTTTAATAGAAGAAAGTATTATTTAACATTTTATATATATTCGATCCAAAAGGGATCGTATTCAATGTAGGATTTGAGGATCAATGATATATATAGAAAGGATAGCATCAAAGAGCGGTAGATCATTGTGCACAAACACAGGCGATAAGCCAAAGGGGGTGGTGTGGAGTGTAAACATAGTGACAGTAAAGAGGCTAAGGTTTCAAAAGTGTGTACGTGTGGGTTTAACCCTTTATTTATAAAGAGGGTTTACCTGAAGGTGGAAGAGTTTATGAAGGATTCAAATTCTCAATTAGATAAAGCTCGAATCTTGCAAAGTCTACGGGACCTATTATGTAGGTCTAGAACAGTTACCCATGAGTTTGGTAATTTGACGGTTTGAACTACCGGGCTAAAGTAGCAAGCTTTTTGAACTCGAGGTGCCGAAGGACCGAGTGGCTTTTGTCTAAGCTTGAATTATTAATCTAGAGTGGCTAGTCATCATGTCATTCTATGCTTCTTGTGGTTGGGTGAGCTCAATGTCCATGGACCAATTCAATCTTTTGAGGAAATTTCAAATGAAATATGTGTTGCCTTGCTCTTCTTAAGGTTGTCTAAATTTTCTTACTTATGAAGGTTGGCTTATGAGTCAGTTAATATGAGTCCCTCATAAAGCTCGGCCTCTTAGCTTATCATTGGTTTCTTTAGGGTTTATGGAAATTGGCATCTCATTAACTGTTGGTTTCTTTCAGGTTCATCTTGATGATTTTGTCTTTACACAAGTTACATGTCCTCATTGGTCGAATATGTGACGGAGATCGTGATGCATCCTCATCTTCCACTGTCTTTGAGTCTACGTGTTCCAGTTTGCTGGTTTTCTTCTCGAACCTTGGGTTTCGATTCCCCCTCACGCTCTTCCATATCTCGATTATCCACTTCTTTAGGGTTGCCCTCATTCAGTTGCATCCAAACTTGTGAGAATACGTCCACATATTTGAGCTGGTTTGTAACCATTTAAACCTTCCATGTACCTTAAATCCCTTCTTCTACCTCTTTGAGGTCGTCACCCCCCACAGTGGGTCTAAACCGCCAGATAAAAAGGTTTGGCTAACACTTTATGGAGTTCTAAGGAAGGGGCTCTTTAAGGTTTACAAGGACTTCTACAAGATATTTATATTTCAGTACTTCAACGTGTTGGCTACGAAGAGAACAAACCCTTTGTTTTTTTTACCAAGAAGGGTGCCCTTAGGTTCTCTTTTATACTAGATTGACAAGAATTACTAGGAGAAGCAAGCCAAGTATCGTATTCCTGCATCTAGATTAACGGTCGAAGAGGAGGTGGCAACCATATCCTCCTTACCTAGTGGAGGATTACAACATCATGGACTCTGGATGGTTATTGAAAAAGGTTAAGAATAAGATCGGTGAAACCATTGGTAGGGTTGCTTGGGTACCACTATTGGTTTCTATCTCTTTTTTGCTTTTAACTTCTTTACTTTTCTTGTTTACGAATTAGATGTGGGCCCTTTCTTACCTTGTCATCCTAGAGAAGATAAGTGTAACACCCAGTATGCACCCGGTGTATTAAACATACAATGGTAATAGCGCAGCTAATTAAATGCGGAAGCTAACTTTTTCTTTCCAATTATGAACTATTCATTATTAACCAAGTGGATTACTTATTCCTTTTCAAAATATGTATGTAAATTACAATAAATGACTAACTGAACAACCTCATAGTATAATAACTGAATATCTAGTCACGGAACTACAACATGTAGTCCAGATAATATCCTGATACATTATACAACTCTAGACTAAATAACATAACAGAAATCAATGTGGCATGGACAACTCCCATGCTCACCAAATCAGGCAACATAGCCAAACAATGTCTCGAATTAAATAGCAATCTAATGACAGTAAAGCATAATCATCATCCAGGCATATCAGCATAGCAGTATGTATAAATCAACTCAATTCCGGCCTCCTGCCGCTAGAAGCATCTACCCCTGAGGTACCTGTACCTGAAAATATGCCCCAACACGATGTGAGATCTCTAAAAAAAAAATCTCAATAAGATAAGGGGTCCTCAAGGATCTCTCCACCCCAAGCTCACTTATATGTGCAATATAAGTTCCAAAATAGTATAACAATATAATTTCCAAAACTTGTGCAATGCAGCATATATCTATGTCATATGTATATACATCCTACTGGCCAGAGAATAAAAGGTAGGGATTACATACGTCTACAATCTACAGTACAAGGAACACTGCTTGCACCTCACTCACGGAATTACCATCATTTATTTTCATAAAAACACAGCATGCATATAACCATCCCTCCATGAGGTATGGTGGAACCAATAATGGGCAAAACCGAGGACACAGAAGCTTACCTCTCAAGCTAACAATCCAAACACGAGTCCACACTAGCCCAAGGTCACCAAACAACACAATCACGGTCTGTTTACACCAGAGATATTATCAATATAATTCATCTAGGAGTTCATTACATTACGACAATGTTTCCTTTTTCATTTCGTACTCTTAGGCTTCTCCCAAAGCCATAAGCCTTTAATTTGAGTGATTCTAACTTAGTTAACTTATTACAGAGGTTCATACAAACCACTCAAAGGTCCAGAAACCCAATCCAAGCTTCTGTTCGGACATAACAATGCATGATTCAAAATTCTCAAAATATCCGAATATTCCACGGGGACATATCCGGATATCGCAAACCCCATATCCGGATATCCATATCCGGATATCATATCCAGATATTTCGCGACAGAATGCAGTTTCTACATTTCGCGAAGATAGCCATCCAAGGCCTCATTTTTAACACTTTTACACGTCCAAGTATTTTATACCCATTTAGGTCAATGTTCATGTTGGTTACTTAATCCTATCATATTACATGCCAAGACTTGATCTTTAACAAGAAAACTCATGAACAGAGTTAAGAACATACCCCCAACAGCTCA